CTTTTCTTTCACCTCCCCGCCCCGCCCCCTTTTTCTCGGGTCCCGTCCCCGGGCGCAGCGGTGATCCTCTGCACCCACCACCCCCACCACCCCCCGTTCCTCCTCTTCCTCCGCCCGGGCTGCGCGTTTCCAGGTTTCTATAAACCTCCTTGGCTCATAGCGCGGTCTTGCAAGGCGGAGGCAGGGAAGCGTGCGTGCGTTTTTTATTTTTTAATTCTCCCCTGCTGCATACGGTTGCAGTTGCGGGGAGGGGGGGAGGTTTGTGGAAGAAACATTAGCGGGCAGAATGCGGAGAAGAGCCTCTTAATGCAATCCTGAGAACCTTTTCCTGGGAGCAAGCCCGCTGAATATACCTAAATCAGTGTTCCCTCTAAGCTGAGTTAGTGTGAGCTAGCTCACAGTTTTTTAGCCTCCAGCTCACATATTTTTGTCTTAGCTCAGGAAGGATGGCTCCACAGCAAACTAATATATGCAGTAACCAAGTCACTCACTCACAACTTTAATGCCAGTAGCTCACAAAGAAGAATTTTTGCTCACAAGACTCCACAGCTTAGAGGGAACATTGGTAGGGTTCCGAGGAGACCTGTTTAGGATTGCTCTTCTGCGCTTTAGATAGGATGCTGACCATGATTGCACGGCGGACAGTTATTAGGGGAACTTGGCGATCGTCTGAAGGAGTCCAGGGAAGAAATAAACCGGGCCGCGATAGATGTTATGCCATGGTGAGAGAGAGAAAGAGATAGAATCTAGTCTGTTTAGCAGCATTGAAGGATGAGGGTGGGGGGGAGGATCCAGAAATACCACTTTCTAGAGACAAGAGTTTCCTATTGCAAAAGCAAGGATTAAAGTGCCTGAGTTGGGGTTTTGTTTTTGTTGTTTTTTAAATCCCAGCAATAAAAAGAGCATTTATCTAAATTACAAGATGGACAGAAAGCTGGTGGCTAAGTAGTTGTGGGAGTCTAGAACTTTGCTTTCCAGTTGGTGTCACTTCAGGACAGGGAGGTTTATAGAAAACTTGCTCGACGTGTCTCCAAGGTATTCTAAGGTCATTTCCCTCCCTCTTTCTTCATACTGTAAGGAAACCTGGCTGTGCCAGATTATTTTGACGCCTAGTGTACAGCAACAGGCAGGCTGGTTGCGCAAAATCACTGTATTGTCCATATTTCTCAACCCCTCCTGGACACTAATTTGAAAATGTTGTATCCATTTTTGATCATCATAAAATCTTTGATACAGAATGCACCTTTAATGAATACAGCTCTCAGGCCCTTAGCCAGGATTTTTTAAGTCAAGGGGAATTTAAATTTCTTAGGGGCCACTGGCTAATCGAAGGAATACCTGGCTCCTTCCTTGCACCTTATAATATCAAGTTGATTGACACAGTCATAGGACAATCGAAAACCAAAAAGAACTGTGACGATGTGACGCTAATAATTTTTTTTCAGAATCAAAATTATACAAAAAGTGAACAATATAGTAGAAAATATACAGAATAATAGAAAATGTGACGGTGGTCTCCGGAATGCCTTGCCCTTTTGATGGTTGACCTTCCGAACAAAGATGTGAGACCTTATCAAATATAATATGAATTTTGTAAAACTTATAACTCTATATGGATGATTCCAATACAAATATTAATAAAATTAATATGAAACCTTACAAATTACTGTCTCCCAACAATTCATTTCCTCTGGTGACATATCAAAGATTCATAGGTATCGATGATGATTTTCTATCAAATGCAACAAACACTATTAGTCACGGGGCCTTGCCAGTAAGTTAGGGGGCCTAGCCCCGAGAAGCCTCACTGTAGCTACAGGCCTGACAGCTCTGGTCAATAAAAATTAAATAATGTTATAATCTCACCTTCATTAAATTATAATAAACTTGGCACTTCCTTGACACACACAATAACTGTCATAGGACAAAGGTTTTAACAACACACAATAACTGTCATGGGATCCAGTCAAAATTAAGCACTTTTAAAATTCCATTGGTTTCAAGGTGAGCCTTAAGCATGTGTTTAAATGTCTCTTATCGTCAGGTTTCTGTCCATAATGGAAAGAAGAACAGTGTGTAGGAAAATGTCACTCTACTAAAATAGATTCAGGTGGGCATCCATGTTGGTCTGAAGCAACAAAACACTTCAGATACATGTTGTCTGAGGAAGCATGCATGCACACAAAAGCTTATACCCAGAATTAAACTTTGTTGGTCTTGAAGATGCCCGTGGACTCAAACTTTGGTTTGTTCTACTAAAATAGCTATTACCCGTGAAATGTACATGTAAACCAGATAGCCAGTTTGGTGTAGTGGTTAAGTGCGGGGACTCTAATCGGGGAGAACCGGGTTTGATTCCCCACTCCTCCACTTGCACCTGGCTGGATGACCTCGGGCAAGCCATAATTCTGTCAGAGCTGTTCTTGAAAAAGAGCAGTTTCTGTCAGAGTTCTCTCAGCCCCACCTCCCTCACAGGGTGTCTGTTGTGGGGAGGGGAAGGGAAAGGAGTTTGTAAGCCGCTCTGAGACACCTTTGGGTAGTGAAGGGCGGGATATAAATCCAATCTCTTCTCTTCTTCTTCTTCAGCTAAATTTACGATAGCGAGCCAGTATAGTGTATTAGTTAGAGTCTGTGGAGATCCTGTTCAAATCTACATTCTGCATTGGAGTTGTGGCAGCTATGGGGGCAGGGGGGGGGCAAGCTCTGAGCAACTGCCTTCTGGACTGAAGAATATCTAACCAGCACCACCACCACCCGGCTTCTCCTGTAGCTTCATGACGCCCCCTAACTGCCCACAATCAAAAAGGGGGACACAAGCTTTAAAATAAAGACTGGTAATGTGTAAGCTATGTGCCTCCCTAAAGGTCTCTTATTTGGAAACCTGCTAGCCCAAGGCTGTACTTATATGTGAGTTAAATAGAGTCTTGTGAGTCTTAGATTTTTGACTTCACAGACAAGACACAGATGAACAACAAACGTTTGTTTGTTTTATACCTCACCCTACCCCACGGGTAGGCTCAGGGTGGCTTACAACATAAAATTAATAAACCAATTTAACAGAAAATGAAGAAGAAGAAGAGGAGGAGATTGGATTTATACCCTGCCCTTCACTCGAAGTCTCAGAGTGGCTTACAAACTCCTTTCCCTTCCCCTCCCCACAGCAGACACCCTGTGACGTAGGCGGGGCTGAGAGAGCTCTTTCTAGAACTGTCCTTGAGAGAACAGCTCTGACAGAACTGTGGCTTGCCCAAGGTCATCCAGCCAGGTGCAAGTGGAAGAGTGGGGAATCAAACCCAGTTCTCCCAGATTAGAGTCCGCACACTTAACCACTACACCAAACTGGTGTTTAATATTTAATAAGGTAAATATTTATGTAAATATGATGTGTGGATATAACTAAGATATCTAAATTAAAGCTGGCTCTGGGATGTAGTGAATAACCCCTGAAGGGAAATTTGATTCCCCTTTCTCTGGTCAGGTGGGTACCTCAGCAGGTTCAAAGCCGCTCATTTCTCCCACAGAGCAACTTTCCACAGAAACTGCGCACATCAGTTAGTAATGAGGGGCCCTTAACAGGATGCTTATTTGCACCACTAGACTGAATAAGTGTTCTTCCCTAAACTGACACCAAATAAGTGCCTGGCTAAGCTGATGCACCTTTCCAGAGTTCCCTGGGCTGTGACTGGATGACAATCACTTAGATTGGCAGGCGGCCTAAATCATAAGGATTGGTGCAGAGCCCAGGAGGAGAGGCGGGACTTTTAAGGATGACTGCCATAGTGAGTGAATGGAAATAAACCACTGGAGGCTGAAATTTAAGTCCCTTCAAGGAGAGAAGCAAGATATAAATACTAACACCCCTGCTTCCGGCCGCCCCACTTCCGGCCCTCATTCAGCCAGGAGGAGGCAGGAGAAGAGGGAGGGTAAGTTGCTTCCTCCCCACCTCTCCCCACCCCTGCCTGCCTGGGGCCAGGGAGGGCCTTGGCGGGGCTTCCTCGCACTCCAGCTGGCCTAGCAGGTCCACCGCCAGGGGGTGTGGCATATGCTAATGAGTTCCCCTAGCTCTT